GCAGCCATCCCATAACAGGCCAGCTTAGCTTCAAGCTCTGTGCCCTCAGGAAGACCTTCTGGATGTCTTCTCTGAACAGTGTCAGCAGAGCACCCCTACCTTGTGCCCTCATAGCCCATCATTCCTCTCTTCATAGCCCTTACCACACAGTGGGAATCTTCCTCCTTCCCCATTGCTGCCAGGAGCTTCCTGAGGTCCTTGTGTTACCGGAGCAGGCCCAGGGTCTGGTACATGAAAGCCAGGCACCTCACAGCCGCTCAAGGGATATTTAATAAATCTATGAATGACTCTACCCTGTAGTACGGATTTATGAAAAGCCCCGGCACTTTCTTTTAATGGGAATTCTCAGTTTGTCTGACTCTAAAATAGCTATTCAACATAATCCAGTTTTGTTGGAAAATATCTGGGCTGCCTGAATGGCCTGCTGTGGCTCCAGCCTGCTGTTCCCACGGGGTCCTAGAAGCATCTGATGGTGATGGTGGTTTTTCCATGAATGATTGCAGCATTGCTAAAAGTCTAGAAGAGGCAGCAGGTAAAAGTCATGGCTCCGATGGAGAGGCAGACAGATGCAGCTAGAACATCAGCTCCTGCTCTTACCACTGTGGGACTTCTGACACATGTCCTTGAATTTCAGTGTTCTCATCTACCAAAGGGTTTTTTTAATCTAACTTGCAAGGCGATTTTGAGGAGAAAATGGTATCTGTATTGGAAAGTTGGTCTCACTTGCCTAAACCTCTCAGATGTACTTTAAATCCCCCACATCTTCCCTTGTGTGGGCTCTTCCTGCCCTCTACGTTCCCTCCTGCAGACCTGCCGCCTTGATGAGGCACCTCCCTGGGACACTCTGCATTGTCCCCTTCTCCTAACAGGTCTGTTCTTAGGTCATGCTGTGCTCCCCTCCACCCTTTCCTAGGAGCTCTGAGCCAAGATAAGGATGAAACCCACTCACTACTGGCAATACACATTTCAGCTCTTCCTGGTCAGGGCAGCAGAAGCTTTGCACAGGGGCTGATCTCTCTTGTATTGTGAATACATGGGTATATTTTTTGTGTCAGGATCCCTGAAATCCAATGGCATAATGCTTGCTGACAGGAGATGTTAGATGGCTAGAGACACAGGGAGGTTTCAGGCAAGAGGGTATACTTCGGGCAAAGCTTTGAAAGGTGGGCAGGATTGGAACAGGCAACGGAGAAACGGAGCACATTCTAGGCAGATCATCGAGGTCCCTCTAGCTCCTGAGTCCACGCTGCCTGTACTTAGCAGCACTCAGAGTGGATTAATGTATCTTCATTTTCCTTCTGGAAGAGACAGGGACATACTGGTGGTCTTCTTTTCTGCCCGCTGATACTGCTGGTCCTGTTCTTTAGACAGATATCCTGCCTCTTTGGGACATTCCTGAGTGGGGAGGAAGGTGTGTGCTCAGCACCCCATTACTGTATTCATTATTTAGTGCTTTTTGCTCCGTTAACATGATTCTAGCTCCACAGTGGATCCTCAAGTGGAGCAGGACAGTCACAGGCTCTGAAGGGCCTATTTCAGACCCTTTTAGGCCCCACAACATTGAACCAGGTTGAAATTTACTATGAAGGTCAACTGTTTCAATGACACAGACCTAAACCTTAGGATGGTTCATGTCAGTTTTTGCATGAGAAATACTCAGTGATTTTCTTCTTCCCTCTCCTCTTACCCCTCCTTGTATTCTTACGGCTGAAAAATGTCTTTTATCCTTCACCTTGTAGTTTCCCATTTTAAAAGTATTTTATGTAGTTGTATGAGGCATAAACGACTTTCTAATGATCAGTAATACTGTTTGGGGGCCTTCAAAGGGGAGATTCTTAAAAGTTAGGCATAATGGTAAATGGGAAGGACATAGGTTGTCAAATTGATAAATTGGACTTGACATTAATTTCCTTTTGATGAAACACGGATTCAGAAATGGAAAGGAGATTCTTTCCTCGCTTTGGGTGTGATCTTTGTCAATCCCTTAGACTTTCTCGGTCTCATTTTCCTGAATGAAAAAGATGACCATCTTCTGCCAGCATCTCAGGGCTCCGGTGAGACTCATGGGGCAGTGTGGCAGCGTCTTCTGTGACCATGAGGCTGCTTTCATAGAACCTGGGGAAGTGAGGACTGAGGAACTCTATGGATTAGTTGCCTCCTTTTATATTATGGGAGGTCCTATGATTAAGATAAAGGCCCAAGTTTTATGACAAGAGAGACCAAATCCAGGCTCAATATAAGAAAGAAATTTCAGACTCTCTGAGCTTATTTTCAGGGGGAAATGTAGCCTCTCAGAGGAGTGAGGTCTCTGTCCCTAGGAGTATTCAAGCTGCAGGTAAATGGCTCCATACAGGATTCTATTTGTGAAGGTGACTGCTGTCATGGACCTCAGAATGACTTATCTCTTCTCTCATTCCATGTGCCCCCATATTCAGTATGTCCAGTATTTATTTACCTCACCATCCTCTTGTTCCCATTATCCCAGCTGCCAACCCACATATGCTAGAGGCCCTGTGTCTGCCTTTATCATTATGACCTTAGATTGAAAGTCACCCCCTCGGGAGTGCACAGCACTGACCTGGGAAGTTGGTGCTCTGGGTGGAAGGAAGTTTACCAGGTATAATAACCAAGTCGTCTCACTGAGCCAGCATTGGGCATAGTGTCAGGCTTAGGAAATCTGTTTCTCCTTAGTTATCTCTGAAGAGGTTGGAATCAGGGCTCCACATCTTTCTGCTATGTCCTGTGAGAAACTGATAGAAATCCCAATGGGATTTAAAACCCAGGCCTCCATTATGTTCCTTTCTCTATTTTATAGTGTCAGGCACTGGCCATATGTACTAAGAGTCCAAGGTTGCCTTAGCTGTGGAAAATGCTGGTACACT